AAAACGGAGTAATTTATTTTTATTGTTGAAATTAATAACAAATAATTAATTGAAAATCTTGATATAGTGATTAATCTAAAAATAAATAAATTAAAGAATCATGTTAATAACATCTTAGTTTCACCTTACAAACATATTTTTCATTTGAGTAATATTGATGTTATACATCATGATGATTGGGACCCAGTTTTTGCTATAGCCTATTGTTTTTCTTAAACATAACTTCCCACAATTGGTCAAGCTATAGGGATATAATTGAACTAAGTTTCTCTTTGAGGACTAAACAGATTGAAGCAATAATCAACACACGTGACCTGCACACGGGCAACCAAGCCGTTTATAACCTAAAAAACACACAAACCCTACTTCCTGCTCTCTATAACTGCCGCCAAGCTTCTAGTGTTTCTGTCTTTCTGCTTCAGATTCTCAATCGCAATAAACCCTAACCACTGTAAGCCCATTATTACACTTTCTTAGCATTTCAATAACAGAAATTCGACCATTTTAACCTAATTTTCTATTCCAGGAAAACTAGCCAAACAACATCGAAATGGTGACGGCAAAGAAAACTGTAAATCCCTTACTCTTTTTTTTTGTTTTTAATTCCTTTTATTTACTTGTTTCATTGAAAATCTCGAATAATGTATTAATTTTTTTATCTGTTTTCTGCGTTTTGTTTTGTTTGTATGAATATTATAGAAGAAGACCCATGAGAGCATCAACAACAGATTGGCTTTGGTGATGAAGAGTGGAAAGTACACTCTTGGTTACAAAACTGTGCTTAAAACTCTGAGGAACTCTAAAGGTGTTTTTTTTTTCTTATTACAAGTTTTAATTTCTATGTTTAAGATCTTAATTTTGATTTTTGATGTCTTTTATGTTTAATTTGAGGTTATTTGGCAATTGTTCATGATGCAGGAAAATTGATTTTATTATCAAACAATTGCCCACCTTTGAGGAAATCTGAGATTGAGTATTATGCTATGCTTGCAAAGGTTGGGGTTCATCATTATAATGGAAGTAAGTGTTTCCTTCTATGAGTTTTATGTGTTTTAGATTCAGCATCTCCTCTAGTATCGGTCAGGTTTTGATAGAAAAGGGTTTTGGTCTAGTACTGGTAGCCATGTATGCCCTTTGTGTCTGTGTATTCCCGCAATTTTTTTCCCTTAAAAAAGGTTTTGCAACCGTGACCATGTTTAAAACTTTGAATTTGATTGACTCGATTGTTACCACACTTTCAGCTAGTGCAGCCATTGTAGTCTCATTGTTAGACACTTAAGAATTCTAAGAAGATTGTAGTCTCATTGTTAGACACTTAAGAGTTCTAAGAAGTTCTTATTGGATACATGGAACATATTGTCTTAAACTTACTACAATCTGAAGTTACAGGCCTAGACAATCTATGTTAGTAAACTTGCACAGATAGCTTTGAGATGACATGTTGACCAATTTAATCATCTGTAGATCTTGTTATGGACTGTTTGCCTTTAATTTTTTGGTCTTGTTGCGCAGCCATGCAGTAGCTAGTTCTTGCATATAGTTACCTAGGTTTTGCATATTTTTGGGAAGAACTCTAGGAGTAACCAACACTTGGTGCAGGATCCATTTAAAGTTAAGTCCATGGTCAAATTGATATGTAACAAATTAGAGTTTATACTATTATCATTATCATTTCCATTTTCATATTTTAACAAATTAGAGTTTATACTATTTTCATATGTTGTTTCCATTTTTTTAAAACACTCAAATCATAATGGGATTGTCAATTTGTCAGTATGGCTTCATTTAAGAGGGTTTTGTACTGAACTGTGCGTGCACCAAGAATACTGGAGTTTTCCTACATGGTTCTTGCATGACTCCCAAACTAATGATTTTGAAACTGAACTGTCTTTACCTGGCTTTATTCTTGTACTTTTTTCTTTTTACAGATAATGTCGACTTGGGAACTGCTTGTGGCAAGTATTTCCGTGTATCTTGCCTGAGCATTATTGATGCAGGTAATACATTAAAGAAATTATTATGTTTTGAGCTTGATATTTTCTATTGGTAGATGCCATCGACAGTTGCCTGAACGTCGCTCTTTTCTTTGTGGAATAGGTGATTCTGATATTATCAAGACAGTCCCTGGTGATCATTGAGCAGACTTTTCTTCTGGTTCTGTTATTTTACAGCAGAAATATGTTTTATTTCTTTAGATTTTCGCCATCTTTTTTAGAATATTTTGGAGTCTATAACACTCATCTTTCATCCCATCCTTCAGTTTTGGATTTTATTCCCATCTGTTGTGAACTGCTGTTTCCTGAAGTGGCAAGTTTTGATTCAGTTATTGATTCAGCAAGCTTTTTATTATGAAGTATTAGTTTTCTGAAACTACCCATCTAGAGATACCTCTAATCATACACGATTTTAGTGTAACAGTTAAAAAACGGAAAACTTTGTTGATTCTTATTTCCATTCTATTAACAGCTCTGTGGGTTCAATTTCAATTTAGCATCGCTTTCCTTCTGTAGCTTTTGGTTAGACATGTGCATGGTGAAATAGCAATGGCCGACCCAACGGCCGCAGTTTTTATGTGCTGGCTTTCCGGTTAAAGCAATCTGGTACATGGGAAAGTTCGGCCAGCATTATCAAGGCTCAAGGATTGTACCTCAAGAGATGGGTTTGTACGAGTAAGAATTATTTTCCGGCGCATAATCATTTGTCGACGATCATCCCATCCATTATTATGATAGTTGGCGATCCATCCGTTATTATGATATTTGGCGGTTCTATCTGTGATGCATGTTGCCTCATTTCTGTTTTTGGATGAATGTGTTAATTTTAGAGAAATCACATTTCAGACAATGTTTGGAAACGTGGTTATTTTTTGTAAAAAAATAACTTTTTTATATGTTTTGGATTGTTAAATTGATTTAAAAAAAAAAAATAAAATTATTTAGATGTATTTTTAAAAAATAATTATATATTTTCAAACAAATTATTAGCTGAAAAGTAGGCGATAATGGGATATAACAAACACTAATTGTTTATTATTATATTCATGATTGTTATATCTTATCCCATAGTGATGTACGTGAATGTAATGTCGTGCTAAAATTACCCTGCATTTTACTCCATTTTTACCTCCGACTTCTCCGACAAAGATTAGGGTTTTTTAAGTTTATTATGGTTGTCCTTGAAATATGTCATCAATTGCATGATTCTAGAAGCTCATTTACCGTTACACTCTAACTAGTTGTTGGCCTTGGAAGATAGAGGAGTCAAATGTACCGTTACACTAACAGTTGTGTTTTTATTTTTTATGCAAATGGTCTGGTTGAAGTGAGTTTTGAACATGTCCTAATAGTTTATTATCTATCGTATGTTAGTGTTTTATTCATCTTTATGGAATATTGGTCACAAAATAAAATAAAAACATTTCTCCCTCTCTTTACCCTTTTCTTCCATGACCTCTTTTTTTTCTTTGGGGACTTTGAGCCCTTTTTTATCTTTTCATATTATTTTGATTAACTAATATCAAAAATAAAAATTTTTAAATTAATTTTTTTTTATCTTTTCATGTTATTTTTGATTAACTAATATCAAAAATAAAAATTTTAAAATAAAAAATATTATTTTAATTTATTTTTAAATAAAAAGTATTTGAAAACTAACACGATTACAACATCAAACAACCTCTTCATCTTTTATCAAGTTTGTAAATTTTTTTTTTCCTAACATTGATTTTTATGTACAATCAATTTTGTTAATTTAAATGGAAAAAATATTAAAAAAATAAATAGAAATTCAATTATTTTATAATAATAAAATGGATATGATAAATTGAAAACCCATTATAGAAGGAATCTAAACCAATTGGTATCAACTTACCAGATTTATTTGTTATTATCATATTATTAGTTTATTAGTGATCATATTATTAGTGGTAAATTAGTTTTTCTACATTTTAAATAAACACTGCAATAACATACATATTCTTAAAAGTAAGAGTAAAATAATTAAACCTAGGATTAAGGACTTTTTGTGATTTGAATACATAGTAAAATAACCACATTACCTATAAAAATATAACTAAAACTTACGGTTAGGGGCACGTAGGTCTTTTTCATGTGGTTTTTTGTAATTATGTATTTTGAATAAAGAGTGATTTGGTATTCAAACAAATCTAAAAATAAGCATGCGTAGCATATGCTACCAACTAAGAGATACCCATGCTTTTTGGTGAAGCTCAAAAGTAATACAAACAATAAAACAAGGAGGAGGAGAAAACTTCTCAACTCAACTCAACTCTCACCCTTAGCTCTCTCTCTGTATTTCTCTCTATCTCGTGGTGGTAATCAGCTATCAATGGCACTCTCTATTTATAGCTGATGTGGGAGACAAGTTTCTTCTTTAGTCAACAATGGTGGGCAACAATTTCTTTGGTTAGGCACCCACCATGCAACCACCATTGACTTTAGCCATGTCTAACATGGCTGCCACCAACCATGTTGTGTCCACACCCAACAGTTTTTTGTAATTATGTATTTTGAATAAAGAGTGATTTGGTATTCAAACAAATCTAAAAATAAGCATGCGTAGCATATGCTACCAACTAAAAGATCCCATGCTTTTTGGTTGATGCATACCCATAATCAAATACTGCCATCCACAATACATTGAAAGTGGAGCATGTTCTTTTCATGGTGGTGGGGTGCTATTTATGATGGAGATGTAGTTGATGAATTTTTTTAATTCTGCTTTCTCTTAGCTTATAAATTCTTGTTAGCCCTTTCAAAAATTATTTGTTTTTCAATTTGTATTAATATTAAATTTAATCTTCAGACTTATTTGGTATTGTGGTCAAAATGTTGTTTGTCTAAAATTTAATTTTTTTTTTTAGTATTTTGGAATTATTTTGATGTTAAAAATAAAAAAATTATTTTAATATATTTTTAAGTAAAATAATATTTTGAAACACAACTTCTAACATCCTCCCAAACATACATTTCATTCTTTTAATTACTTTTTTTTAATCATTTTCTTTCCTATCCTTTTATTTGATTACTGAGTTTGGGAAAGTTCTTCCTGCAGTGCTAAAAACTGTAGTTGAGAAAGGTGATGACTGTTAGCAAGATTGCAGTCTCTAGATTGGTAAGATGTCAGTTAAGCATTGACAGAGGTATAAGATGCCATTGATGTGCTTAATGTAGTTTCTTTTAAGAAAGTTTGAGCGATGATGAGGATTATTAAACTTGTGTTGCACAATCACCAGGTAAATTATACAAGAAGAAAGGAAAGTATTTGAATCACGTTCCCGGAGCCTCAAAGATGTAATTCTTGGAGAAGATGCTCCTCTACCCTAAGAGTTCAGCAAAGAATGTTCACACTTCATTAAAATTACAAAACGAGATTCACGATCCACTGGAGCGGTAAGACTAAGGAATAAGAGGATGAAGGGAAGGAACTGGAGGACGAAGAGAATCTTTCGAAACAAAGCATTGGGAAACTTAGATCACTTGAACTATAGTGATGCTTGTGTCTCTGTTTAAAGAAGATCTACACGAATAGGTATCTGATTGTATCATCACATTAAGTAGCTGTTTAAATGTGAATTATCAACTTATGCATAATTTGCCATCATATGAATGTTTAGGCAGAGAGGAACTCTAGAGAATCTGTGATAAAATTATTATTTGGCCATTTTATAGAGCAAAGTTGCAGGAGCTTCTAATGGAGTTTCTCCGGCAGATGTTCAACGTGATTGAAATGCTCTTTTAGTATTCTTCTATGGATTTTTCCAGTGTGTTTGTGAGTGAACGAAAACGTATGTTTATGCAATTCTACTCGCTTAAATCTTGACTTCTTTACGAGGGTGTTTGAACTCAGATGCATGTTGTTTTATTTTTTTTTCATTCTGGGCCTTGAATATTTATTATGTTTTCATGTATTTTAAGCTGAGTTCTGATAAACATGGGACATAGACGTAGAATTTATAGGTATGCTGCTCAGTCAATCACGATCATCTTTTGCTTATAGGATAGAGATAATACATTCATGCAACAATACATAACCTACTCAATTGTTAGCCATTTTGAATGCTATATGCCTTTGCAGTGATCTGATTATACACGCTTGGCTGCGAACATCTCTTTGATAAACTTATTTTTAAAGGATCTAAAAAACTCTTATGACGGCCTCCTTTTAAACATGTTCAAGAGAATAAACATGCTCTAAGTAGGGCTGATAGGATACCAAACCTCGGACATGCTATTGCTAATCTCTTGGCATGCTTATGAAAATGCGCATCTTTCCTTATAACTTCTAAGAGAATGATTATATTTTCTTAACATATTAAAAAAAATGAGTTTATGTGGGGTTGACGAACATGTCAGACTTATAACATTTGAACTTGACAGCCAGCTAAGTCTAAAACAATATAGGATTAATAAACGTACCAACCCAAGATATTTGGACTTGACAGTGACTTGACAGTCAGCTAAGTAACATACCAACCCAAGATATTTGGACTTGACAGTCAGCCAAAACCATTGCACTTGAACTTGCTAGTTAGCCAACTTCAAGATAACATGGATATGACAAACATGTCATACCTAAAGTAAAGTCTAAGGTAATGCATGTTTGGCAGAAATGGTCGACCCAAGTTACTTCGACTTGGTAATTAGCTATGTCCAAGGTAACGACCATTATTTCTTGGTACGCTTAAGGGAATGAGCTAATATGTATTTGACAAACATGTCAGACCCAAATACTTGGACTTGACAGTCAGTTAAGTACAAGATAATATAAATTTGGCAAATATGATAGATTCAAAGTACTTAAACTTAATAGTTAGCCAAGTCTAAGGCAACTACTATTCTCTATTAGACACGTCTAAGAGAATAACTATTCTCTTTTGGCACGTCCAAGAAAATAAGGTAATATGAGTCTGACAAATATATCATACCCAAGTCACTTGATTGTGGTAATTATCAAGTTCAAGACAACATGGATCTAGCAAATATGCTATATCCAAGGCATTTGAATTTGATAGTTAGCTAAGTCCAATGAAATGACCATCCTCTCTTTGTTGCACCCAAAGTAAATGACCAACCTTCCTTGAATCTAATCTCGGGGAATAACTCAGTCTTTATGAGTTTAATCACGTTTGATATCTTAAACTCTAGTTTCTCTATACTTTTTAAGTGTTAAAAGTTCTCCAAATAGCCTACCATATTCTCATTAAATATTAATACAGATGTAAATGATATTTATCTTCAATTAAATGCTATTAGAGTAAGGTTACACTTTTTAGATGTAATAAAATCTTCTAAGGATCCGCCATACTCCCATCAAAGCATTAATATAGATTTAAGGGATATTTATTCCCCATTAAATGCTATTAGGGTAAAATTATATATCAGACCCTTCTTTTCATAAAATAACAAGACACATGGGTTATAAATACACCATCAGTCCCTCAAAACAAATGTTCATAATCTTTATTTTCTATTGCATATATATTTTTAAATGTTCATAATCTTTATTTTTTATTGCATATATATTTTTAGAGTATTTTATTTAGAATATCATTATATTTTCTTTCTCTAAAAAAATATTTATTTAATTATAAAAGAACCCCTCATCTCTAAAAAAAAATAATTTTTTATATGTATTGATTACAAGCCGTCTTGGCTTACTAAGCACAAAACATATGCTGAAAAACACCTTGATTAGAGAGAATAAATGAGATTGCACCAATTGATTAGCTAATTATAGAACTTGAGAATTTTATTTCTAAACTACTTGGATATTTGAGGAATTCATCACCGTTGAAAATGTTTTCATGGTTCCTTGGCAGTCTTATAATTTTCTGGAAATAAAGATGCATGAGACTAATCAATCTATATCATAAACACTAGCCTATGAGCTTGTTGAATTAGGCTGAACTTTCATCAACAACAACTAAGGGCGTCTATAACTCTTAGTTAAAAGCTCATATCTTTAGACAATAAGTATTCTGGAGTCCGAGTGGATCTAATAATTCTGGATCCATTGTACTCTGATTAATTTGGGATGCATTCGATAACATGTCAGAACAAGAAATGTTAAAAAGACTTTTTGCCTGTTGCCTATGGCCCTTGATTCAAACAATAAACCTTTGGCTTTTTGTTGTTCTCAAACAACATCAGTATTCGCGTTCTCTTTTGACACCTTATTTTGGAAGCTCAGCTAATATCCCTTTGGCATTGCTGACAAGGAAAAACAGAGGCCTGCACATTCTCATAGCACTGAAATTCAATGGTTTTCACAATTTTGAATGCTTACAAGGCCAGTATGCTCTTAAGCCACTTTGTAATGGGGGCTGTTCAGATGTAATTAGTTCAATAAGCTCTGATTAATTTGCCAAGCATTCTCATACCTTCATGTTATGATGATTTTGAAACGCTACTCAGAAACCCTAATCCCAGGCCTGTTTTGCCGTCTAGACTCGCGTTTGTCCCCATCAGGGCTACATACCTTCATGTTATGATGATTTTGAAACATTTGTTTTATTCAATTGATTTTTTTGGTCAATATCTGGTCGCTCATGCACAAGTAGAGGAAGCCGGCACATGTAAAGCCGGTTTAACGATGAAGACCTGTTTGGTATTGTTACCGTCCTTTAAAAAAAAATATTTTTTTATTTTAGATTATTTTTTATGTTTTTGAATCCTTTTATATAAAAATATATTAAAAAAATTATTTTAATATATTTAAAAAAATACTTTCAAAAAATAAATATTATTACAATACCAAACACCATTGAAAAATATATATCTAAAAGATCTACCACAACAACATTCAAATGTAAAAGTAGGATGAACATTTAGGAGGAGTTAAAAGTTATTAATTTCATTTTGTTTCAGCTCGAATAATTAATATATCTTGTATTATTCTAAAAAATAAAACTAAAATAAATTTTATTTTATTAAAAATCTCAGGCGATTTCAGATTTTTAGTCTAAATTCCATTTGAGATGTTACAAGTTTATAAGTTTGACGAAATATTGCATCCATTATTTGTAAAAAAGAAAGAAAAACACAAAATGTAAAGTTTTAATGAACTAAAAGACAGATGATTAATTTTAATTTGGTTTAGTTTTTATAAAAAAAAAATAATCAAATTAGTTTTAAAAAAATTAAAATAAAACCGGTTCAAATCGACCAGTTTTGATTTGGTTATTTAAGAACAAAAACAAATTTGGCTTGGTTTTTTCTAATTTAGCTAGGTTTTTTTTTCCAGATTTTTTTGTTTTTTTCCAGTTTGATTTTTTTTTTGTTTCATGTTTATAAAACTAAACCATACTGGTTGGGTTTTTTAAAATTTTAATCGATTTTTTTTTATAATTTAGTTTTTTCAGTTATTTTTTTTTATAGTTTTCTCAATTTAATTAATTTTTTAATTAAAAAGTATACCCGAGTAAAGGTTATGCTTAAATGAATTTAAATGTCTGTTTCAACTTATACATAGTAAACGCGATTTCAGAATCTCTAACATGTATACCGAAGACCTGGGAAGCATTCTTGGTGTTGTCAAAATGGCTTTGTAGTTTTTCCATTTTGAAATGTAACTTTGCCGTATAGTTGCTATAATCTCTAGCAACTTCGTTCTTAATAAATCAGCAGGGGTCTCTACATTTCTATCCCTTTTCTCCATGGCCTTGTATTCCAAATAGTACTGCTCTTGTCTTGTATCCTACTCAACATACTATGAAAATAAACCGACCACCTATATAACCAATTGCTTTCTCTTCTTCTTGAGCACTTGCTGTCTCTCTGGTGTGCCTTCAGCAAGATGAGAGAATGTCATCTTTCATATGAGATCAAGCATCATAGTTGGATGGATAAAAGAAGAAGCTACAGACAATTGGAAGTAGTGATTGAGAATACATATGGCATTCCTGATATTGTGTGAATATCATGATGATGCATAGCACTCAGAAACTTGTTTGGAGAAGTTTTTCTTGTTTTTTTCCCTCGAATGTTGGGATATTTTCAATGCCAGCAAATCTAGAATGATAGAGCAACCTTGGATGCTTCTGTTTTCAGTTTTCGTGATGATTAATTTAATGGCAATGTCCAAAGCTGTATAAGTTTTTTGAAACTTATGTTGTCGTATTTAACATCATGGAATAATAACCTTTATACTGTCTTTCAACAAAATGAAACTGGATGGAAGTGGGGCTTACTGTAGCTTTCAAAGAACAGGGAGGAACTCTTAAGCTGTCCCTCTTGGACTGTGGATGTCATGTGAAAGAGATTACCATCAAATTAAATGTGGGAGCATCCTGGCTTCATCGAAGGTAAGAAATCGTCCTCTGATCTGTAATCCAAGATATCCTTGAAGAGAAGTTGTTTTGTCTTTGTTTTAGCATGAGAATTGCACATATCATTTCGCGGTGAATGGATTTTTTTTAAACAGTACTTGCATATGATAGATAAACACTAATGTTTGAGAAATTGTTCCCAACGAAGTCTATTTTAGAGTGTTTATTGGAAAGCTTACTTGAATGAAAGGAAGATTCTTAAATGTCCATAAAATGGCCAGGAAATAAGAATGGCCTTTTGAAAAACACGCCAAGTCTACTACTTTTATCCCATCATAGCATAAAAAATGGCAACTTCGACTGGTAAGGTTTTATCGATCCTTTATTTCATGTTTCAATAGTGCGGTAAGCATCAGCTGTGATTTCATTGACGCTGCCATGTTTTTGCTTTCAGTCCCTTTTTCATGAATTTACATTTGCTCCATTTCTTGATTTTTTTTTTCCTGCTGCGATCAGCTTGCTGACGTTTTAAAATGCTTTTCGCTCTTGTTTTTACGTTCTCTTACGTTGACGACCGCTGCTAACAATTCTGTTTTGTTGCA